CACCATTAGTAGGCACACATGATAAACTTCATCAAATATCAAAGAAATGTATCACAGAAGGCTTACTGCCATGTCTGTCCGTAGTGCATAACCTGTATAGTGGGGAAGTAAGCTGGACAAATACAAAATTACAATCTTCAAAAAATTTTCAGCCAAACGGATGACTAAGGTTGATCTAGGTGGTGCTTGCCTTCATTCTTACCCATTGAATGTGTTGTTAGCAAGCTTTGCAAGAAACGAATATGCGCTATCGTTCCTCCTAGTTTAACTGTACATGGCCCTTTTAAGAACACTGAAACATGGCACAACGTAGCTCGAAATTTGTAACCAGTACCAAGTACTACGGGGCTAACGCTTGATTTTCTTACAATAAACCCATGGGGGCCGAAGTAATACACCAATAGTTTTAAGGGAGATATAGCAAGTATTACAAGAAAACATCCTAAGAAAATGTTTCATTGTGCCAGAAGTATTGGTTACAAAGTGATGAGTAGATGCTGGTTATAAATGAAGGAGACCGTCTTTTACCTCTGATTATTATGATAATTCAATTTATTTAAGACAGTAGGTCTTTCATTGGAAAGCATTGCTTTTTTGCTTATTGCGTCGCTTCTTTAATTTTCCATTTGCTCACAATCTCGTGTTGTACCGTTGGCAAGCTCTGCGCTTGCTCTATAATATCGCTACCACCGTTCCGTTTAAATCAGAATGTTATCTTGCGTTCCGATGTCAAAGGTAAGCATATCAGGCGAAAAAAAAAACTTTTTCCAGTGTTAAAAACTGTCCAATTAACCCAGCAGGTTTGTTTCGCGTACACTAAACAATCTATAGCGAGGATCTATTGGCTTATCTAACCACTACATTCGATGAGAAGCGACTCAAGGCAATGCTTGTCGAGCTCAAAAGGCCCAGTGAAGTACGTTTTTTAGGCCGAAAAAGCTATGCTCGAACAGAGCAAGCCATTTTCAAGCGGCACTTTCTGCTACAACGTCCTTGTACTATACCTCACTAACACATCCAGCTGTTTCGGCAAATCTTTAGCCTCGGTACAAGGCGAATCACGGTTGTCGAGGGTACGATCTTGTGAACAAACATATCCACCTGTAAAGTCCAAACCCCAAACCAAATTTTGTGACAGAACGATGACGACAACTATGCACGATTCATAAACACTTGTTCCTAAACAAACGAAAAACTGTGAAGTGGAAATCACCATATTCTACGGACAACGTAATTTCTGTATAGCAGTGATAAAGCGATAAAGATACATTTTGAAGTCATCAAACATCATTTTTTAGTTTAAAAGTATTGCAATAGCGTGCTATCTAGACGTGCCTGTGCAATTGTTTTGTATGCTATTTCACTAGGTACCTTTGAGATGCCGAACTGGCTTAACGAAGCATTGAACCATCAATATCGGTTATCTTTTTGGAAATAATACTGTTACTCTGGAACTTGTTACGCTCCTAGCTCGACCGTCGGCCAAGATCATAATAGAGTCTCAAGATGGTCATAATTTACTAGTGACACACGCTTTGCACCGACAAAAAAGACAACGCATGTTAAATACGATCAGGAGCAAAATCCTGTCGTCAAGAACGCGATTGTCGCAGCTATTTCTGAAAAGGGTCAACGCGAAGTTCGCAAATTAGACTCTTCATATAGCTTTACCAGTTGCAATCTAGATTAACTGCATCTGGCGATCTCGGCGGTCTAAGGTCAAACAAGGGATCAGAAGTAAATGAGTCGAAATATAGACTTATTCTATCACCCCAACTCTTCTGTCTATAATCATTCCATATGCAACGTTGACCTCAGTGCACCCACTCGTTTCATGAGTGTACCCCTGTGCTTGTAGATTTAGTTACAAAATAGCCTTCTAAAAACACACGCTGTTAATTTGATTCCGTAAATATTAGAGGTGCATTATTATGAATAGCATTTGCTTCTAGTGCTAATTTCTAGAAACAACATTTTCTGTGATTTTAAGAGACAGCCAAGTCAATACGTAATCATACCCAATGGTATAAAGATACGTGCGTCGTTGTTATAACATTCAACATAAGAGTCAATGTTTTGCTAATCTGATTGGCGTTCGCAGGTTACCAAATAAGAGCAAAGTCCGAGTTTTTGCGTTAAAGCTAAGAAGTTCAAATTTTCTTTTGTTAGATTTATCGCTATTTTGGTCGCAACTAACTAAAATAGTTATATTAAATCGAAGTTCGAAGCAACTATAGTAACTTTCTGAAACGACACGATGTTTTTCACGTATCTTCAGCTTTGTCCATTCTGTCAAAGTTCAGAATTTACAAAGCCAGAATAATGAAAAAATATTGAAATAAGTTTAAAGATGCAACCGTATCGGATGGTATGCCGCTGAATTAACCTAAAAACTTTAAATGAAGCTAAACAGGCTGAACCCATGTAGTGTTCAACCTCTCTACTTGAAGTATTGAAGTAATACAATATTTACTGATGGTCGAAGAGGATGCGTCTGAAGTCTTTCACCCATTTTATAGCCCTACTGTTTTACAACAAGAAAATAGCAAGGAGAGTATTTGTTAGTTTTACTTTTCGCTTCAGTGGTTCAGTCTTATTCATGATATACGCATTTAGGAGTGCGTATTTCAAACGTGCTTAAAATATCGGCAATCTACTATCTTCCACCATTACCTGCCATCTTCCAACTATGAGGTCCGTTTTCTATTTTTCAAATTATTGAATAATTTACCTTTGTTCGTTTTAGCGGCGCCTGGAGACAAGTTGGAGGGGCCAAAGTGGACTATCGTGTGGTGGAAATCCTAATGAAAAATTTGGCCTCCTGAACGAATGGTATCCTTTTTTGTACATGAGGGTCCACGTACGGGGGTCTTGATATCAATCGAAACCCCTTGATAAACTGAATCTGTACACATTCTTATACCTAAATTTATATTCTCACACTAAAAGACGCTGATGGCTAACACATTTCACCTCGATTTGAGATGACATTTGTTGTCGCCGCTGCTGTAATACCGCTGAGTACCAACATAGTGAAGACAACTAGGGGATTTGTCGTTCAATTCAAATCAATCCGTGTACAACTAACCACTATTATAGCAACAATTAATTAACTAAACCAATCTAACACATATCATTTAAATACTTTATGTCTGTTTGCTCGACTAAAGTGATCATTATTGTTAATGCAGGAGATGTGATGGTGCACTGTGCAGTTTACGCACGATTAGCACTTGACGTCTATTTTATGTCGGCTGGGCCTGAAGTTCAGCCGCGCCGGTTAGACCTAATTTCGTCGAAGTTGCTAGTCTCTGAAGATTCACTTCGAATCAACTTAGTGCTGATAGAAGAGAGCGGCTAATACCATCGGATTCTCAGGCCGAAATCATCCTAGTCAGGTTTCCCGGCTCTCCCCGGACGATCTAGCTTTCTGCGCATAACTCTTCTTATGTTTTTTGAACTTGACGAAGCATCGTGTGACATTTTGCTTAGCCGTAATTTTGTGGCCCATTCTTTTTCCTTCGAAACCTCTATTGCCAAAATTTCGCTAGCCTCCAACGTTCTTATGATTGAATGTTGAAGGTTGTGAACTTCCTTATACTATTTCCTAGAAAATGATGCACAATAGTGTACACTATTAATATGCCAAATTTGAGCAGAAGTGGGCTATAATTCATGCTTCTGACCTAATAGTATAACCTTCTAACATGGAAGCCTACGTCGAGGGTGTCGTCTTTGGCACGCACCGAGAATTTAGGAATATGATGAGAACGGCCGTTGTCGTAAAGGCCGTGTCACAGCGTCGTGAGAAATCGTACAGAGGTCCTATACAAGTGTACGCAAATGTACAAATCATATAGAATTGACTAAACCAGGCAATTCTAGTTTCGTTGCTTAAAGAAAAAAAAAGAGCGAAAATTGTTAAGGTCGCATAAAACGGCAATTAAAGAACAGTGTTTGTATTTATTTTTATTATTGCAAACATCTATACTATTTAAGATTATGTGAATCTTAAACTTATTTTTGGAAATGGCATTTATGTGCATATTAAGACACTTTTTACTGACTTGCATCTTCTTGGAGTTTTTGAACACTTTCTAAACGCTTCCCAAATCGGAGCACTGCATCTGTTTCCTTTAACCTCAATGGAAGAAACACATATTTGCACGTATTTTTAGACCAGTTCTTTATCAACTTTCTCTTCTTTGTTTCCTTGCAAAGAAGAAAGAAAAGATGCCTTATTTCCTTATAAATGATGAATTGTCGACGAAGTTATGATCTTAGTACATAAAGGGGCCGATGAGCAGTTGCGAGGACGTAGGTAACAGATCACGTCACCTTTGCCCTCATTTTAGTCGCCGTATTTGCAGTTTAGTGTTAAAACGGCGTGCTCCTCTATGCATGCCTTGTAAATCCATGAATGCCCGGCTGATTCTGTTGTGGCCGGCCTCTCGAGGGTTCAGTCTAATGTGGTTTGCTCATCTGTCTTGGATGGGAGGTTCACTGTATCATGCGACACTGTGATAATTTTAAATAGCGCATACAGGACGATGAAAGGCGTGAGCACAGTAGCACAGGAAAGGCGACCCACCCTGGTTTTCTCGGTAATAGCTAGAGGCTGTTTTCTGTCTGTCGTGGTGTGTTGGTTTGTGTGCCCACCGTATGTGTGTATGCATATGCTATGTGTGGGTAGACGGGTGAGCCTGTTTCAACAACGATGGTTCGCTACCTTCTCCCACCATCCACAGAATGTTATGAGGGAAAGGAAGGAACGGGCGGCAGCAGCAACCAGAGCTTTCCCTTCGACTCAAATCAGTAGCGACGAGTGAGAGAGACTACGACGTAGGGGTTGAAGCTTCCCGCAAGCACTTTTTCCCTCTCCATTCCCCCTCTCCACTTTCAGTAACGTGTTCGTTTCGTTTTTCCTCACGTCGAACGGAAGGATAGATACCACGAGGTAGCCATTTTGTCCCTTTGACGAAGTGGAAAGAGAAGTCACCGACAGGGATTTGGCCTCGCCTTGGACGAGTCCATAAGGCGACGGCGGGCGGTTAGGCTGGAACAAACTGGCAACTCAATGAAATCAGCAAATTTTAAGCGATCATCCTGTTGCTCAACAACGTTAAGGGCTGCTGTGATATTTCCACAATTACAATGCGTGACGAATAGCAACACTCGCCTGAGTAATTAGCGGCAAAAGCAGAAGGATAGGAAACATGCGGTGATAGTCTCAGCAGTTTTGATAGTTTTTGTGATACCTCAGGCTTTGACGCATGACGAAACATACTCAAAATAATTAATTGGCTCACCTTCGATTTTTAGGAGAGTGCCAACTGTGGTTTAAGGAGTGTAAAAAAAAAAAAAAAGGTTTTGAGTTAACGTCTCATTCATCGATATTTAGTGTTCCGTTTGGAGTGCTTCCCGTTTTTGTTTCGGCTGCTAGCTCTTAAATTGCCGATTTTGGCGCGCCGGATCCCGAACCGCCGCGCGTGGTGCCATGCTGTGGTCTGAGGCGTGCGCGGCCTGCCTTCTGCGTCAAACCTTGGCATGCAGTTTACGTTGCCGATGAACATACGCTTCTGTTATGGTCAGTTGTGATGCTGGCTCCGCCGTCGGGGTCGTCTAAGGATGTCGCCTCATGCAGACGACGGAACATTACAGTTCTGTTCTCCTGTACGCAAGCCCATTTCGTTAAGTCACATCGGCAGTCAAATTCTATCGTCAAACTTTAAGTACCTCAAAACAGTGGACGGCTTTATAAAACTCATTCATGTGGTAAGTTATCCTTTTTTTTAACCTGCAAACGTACTTGGTAGCACTTTTTTCTAGAAAATAGATTGCTTCCTTTATGCAAATAAAATTATTTTTTTTACTCATCTTTTTTGACACATTGCTATTCATCTATCAAGACCTTCTATCCTGCAATATACTTTTTGGACATCTTAACCCTACGCTTTGTGTAACCTATCTTGCCTTTAATTCAGTCCGTTACAAAATAAGTATTTAGACGCCTGCTTGGCTTTACTATTTTGAAGGAAGAGCATACAAGTTGTAATGCCATCTGGCGGAAACCATCACATCTTTTTTAGCATCTAGAGTCTATAATATGTCAGTTAGTCGTCGATTTCTCGAAGATAGAAACGTTGCTTACCCTTATTTCAGTAGAGTAAGCAATGGTTCCAATAGGCCAATAGAATACAATGTAAACGTTTTATATGGTTATTTATTTACGTACTTATCTGCATCTCGTTTTACGAGGGGTGTATCCTCACTTCGTTGTTCCCACGTGTTTCTTTTAACAGAAACTGGGACCTGTCCTACCGTGATAAGAGTCTATGAATCATGTAAATAGTTAGTTCTGTACTACTTTATAGGAAAGGAAGTTAAGCAACCCTTATAGTTAAACAGATCTTACACCACCTCTAAATAGAGATATTCTTTCGCTATGCCCGCCTTAGTCACGACTTATTCTTGCTGCATTGCTCTGTGTATTTCTGCGATGAACATGACTCGAGCGAATGCAAAAATGGGAAACCAGGGAACATCACTGACAGCGGGTGTACGTTTCGTCTGTACTTTTTCTATATATTCGATATACAGGTGCTGTGTCTATATTGCGGGGTAAGCATGTTAAATACCTGTCATCCAACAGCGGTGAATAACCAGCAGCTGCCTGGGCATCTTTCGTGTACCTCGCGTCAAATCAACTTTATCCTAACGCACCTATCGGCGTTTGTACTGCACTCCGTCATCCTACTTTCCTACCTCCTATCGCCACTCAGTAGCGTACTTCTTCCAAGTACAATTCTGGTAAGTAAATTAAGATTGGAGTCCTGCATGTACAATGGTTTCTGATAATCATTGCAGCATGCCAAAGCCAAACACGGAGACCAAAAACACTAAACTCTCTACGAGCCTTTTTCAATGCGTTGGCAAAATACACAGTCAGCTACTGTTCGTCTCTAAACGTAGGCTAAGGTGAATCCCGATTGCAGTGGAACTACAATAGACCTCATCGCTTAATATGTACATAAGAGATGGTAAAGTATGAAGAAAAGCGTTATGTATAATCAAGACAATTCTATTGTATTTAAACGATTGGGGCTTGGATCAGTGAGCTTTGTGAGCGTCAGTCGTTTCTTCTGTTAGGAGCAGCGGAAACAGAGAGCCATAGGCGCAACATTCACGGAACTTGACTCTTGAAAACAACCGTTACCTAGAAAAGAGCCATGCCAGCATGTTTGCCACAGAATCTTATAACAACCAGTAGTTCATTTTCGAAAAGTCTGTTAAACATGTCTATGTCTTTGGCCTATATGGCTCCAAAATATACGGTTACATGGATTAGAATTGGGGTTATTTTTGCAGAAAAATTCATGGTTTTGATTAGAGGAGATGATACCACATAATCCTTAAGTACCAAACTAGCTAAATCAGAGATTACGTTTTTTTGTCACAGAGCCCCATCGAGTTCTGCGGGGCTATGCGAAGCAGGGTTCTAAATATCCCAAATAATTATTTGAATTTCCCTGTTAAATAAGCAATCGATGGTATCCAGTTTCATATGTACCTGAATGGCGGTATCCTGTATAGTCCAACATATCCTGTATAGGCCAATGTCGCCGCGAGGCGTGTTATATGAGTCAAGGTTCACAGACTTAATTTACAGAAGATTAACAGAGATTAATTTACAGAAGTGTGTCTCTATGCTGTACTTTTGATACCATTAATGTGGTTACTGTTACTACGATCTACATCTAGTTTCGGTCAATTTGAAGGGGCTAAACTAAGTAAGAAGTGCTACTCGATTTTTATAAGCGAATCTGGCGGACTTTGACATCGGGAAGCTCTTAAACTAGTTGAGCTAGAATGATGAGTTAATATGTATTATAGGTGCTCTTTTTTAATTTTCATACATTTGTCTCGGCGTTTTGACGTTCAGCTTCTGGATACCTGTATATTATATTTCCAATTATAAGTAAGCCGATAATAGGATGTGCTTGCCTACTAGTTATTTTTGCAGGACATGAAAAGATCCGTAATCACACGGATGCAAATTGGGCGAATAAGTAGGTTAAAGCCAATCTCAGATATTTCTCTGCCCACTCCAGGAAAAAATTAAGAAATGGTGATGAAGTGGAAGCAATGGTCACCAAGTGATCGGATTGCGTGTTTTTAATTGCAGTATTAACGGTTCATGAAGCTTCTAATGACCTCGAGATAGCGGGTTGCGTTCTTTGTTTCATTTTCGGCGAGTATCTTATCGTAACAATCCCTGATGTCTATTGCAAGTACCTCCATTCGTCTGAACCTAATAGTATCCAACAGTAGTTCACACTGCCATCGAACTCGATTTCTTTCAAGGACGCTACAGCTCTCTCGTTTGGTATCTCTCCGGCTAGCGGCAGAGATCGCTTGGTCTTTGGTGTCCGTATGCTCCAGGCAGATTTTTCGTTTCGTCCAAGAGATCCCTTAAAGCTCAAGCTCTGCAATCTCCTTGATTGCGGCAATGCGTTTTTCGCATTGGATCTTGACATTTAGTTGCAGACCTCGCTAACATTACGCATTCCAATCCCCGCTCTTGCCCCATTCATATGCTACATTTTCGCTTAAAACGCCCTTGTCTAATTTCACCACATTTCCGCGGGACTGTGGCCTTCGAGGAATAAAAAAAAAAAACTAAAAGATGTTTTTCCACCACTGGCTTCTCCTGAAATGAACTCAGTCGACCTTTACCCACAAGTCTACAGTAGACTGGAATATTTACCAGGTAAATTACGTCTGCTCGCAACGCTTAGTTCAAAAGTTATTCAATTATCTCAATTTGGTCACTAATAAATTTGCTACCTTTAAATTGTGTACTACAGGCGAGATACAGCAAGAAATATGACAGAGCATAGCCCTTTGAATGGACAGGGGGGTACTCGGTTACTCACTAAGTCCTCGCAAATGCTATGAAACCGAGAGCTTTATGTACGCAAAACGAGGACGTGGTTTACGGAAGTTGGGTATTTTTTGTCTCGGTTGCAATACGTGCGTAGGCTAGAATGACAAGCGAGACTCGTAGGTCATTGCGGTAACCTTCCTATTTTGGGAAGGAAAAGGTGTTCTCGTATATTTAACACTGCGAATGAAACAAGATCGTTTCTATTGCGGCGGCTATTCTCTGCTTGAATTGCATATGCTTGCCTGCGTCACTTGAGGCGTTTCACGGAGTTTTCCACTTTCGTAGTACTTGCTTCTCCTCTGTGGCGTCTGGGTAAAGACGGAACCAGCGAAGCTTCAGCCGACAGCCCAAGAAATACTTCTTGATATCTCAGATCGACTTTCTATTTGCCCCTTTTCTTTTCAGTTCTAGGAATTTATTTACAACATATCAGAGACCAACAAGCTATTTGAGATCGTTGCGCTCTCGATCGGTTCCAAATCGCTATACGCGGCATATGTAGAAAGGTCACGACGCATAAGCTATAAGTAATGTCAAACAGTCAGTTGTTTATGTCGTGCTGGTTAGTCCCCATTGGCATTGGATGTTTGCTCCGTTCGACATCGTTCTCCTAGGCCGGTCGTGATCAAATATGCACTCCATGGCTATAAGCTTGCAATAAATAAAGAGTAAAAAACAGACTAGAGAGGAATGCATAATCCCCAGCGAGTTTACATGAATCGTATCGTATCGTAGCGTATCGTATACAGTAGCCAATAATTCCATCCACAGCTGCGAGCCGATCAAACTGCGCCAATGTTTACACGACCTAAAAGAAGCTGAAAAACCTCGTACCAGGGTACGCAATACCAACATCAGACGTAGAAATCGACCCTTCGAAAGGAGACGGGCAGAATTCCGTAAAGTTTTTGTAAAGTAAACACGTAGTCGTATTACACAATCAGTTCAATCAAAGGGATGAAGGCGGTCAACGTAAGATTTTTCCGTTAGTTATATAGTCTTGGACTGCATTTTCGCATGAAGCAAGCACAAGAGGTGATTACCGCGTGAACAAAAAAAAACATCCAAAGATATGCACTTTTCAATTGGGATCCATCGTTTGTGGCTTAAAGTGCGACATAGTCAAAATATAGCCATCAAAGCAAGACTCTGTCCGCATTGGATACTCAACTTGAGTGACTAGTGCATTAATTTATCATTAATTTGGATTCGTTTTTAGTACGCTACAGTATTTACATTCTTACAACTTATTATAACTAACATTAACATTGCTATGTTTCTATTTTCCATACAAGGGTCCTCTTTCCACCAGAGGTATGCTAAGTTACCTTCTCAGAATAATTTTTCTGTTTTCGATGGTTGCCTTTGCAACTCTGCGATACAAGATTGGAAGTATCGCTAAATAAGTTACAAAGCCCCAGTTACCAAACGTGGTATGATATTACTTTTCGGACACATTGGCGATGTTATGTTACCTAAAGTCAATTAGTCCAGCAGCCATATCAATGTCAGAGCCGCATTTACGATTCTGTAATTTTAGCTGGTGGTATAGAAGAAACATCAGTCAGTCATGTTTCTGAAACTAAATGCAGATAAATACCGAGATAAACGTTATAGGTTCAATCAAATAAATGCACGCATTGTGGCTATCACATAGCAAAATGTATATTTCAGTATCGAGGTACTTTAGGTTCGAGGCAGTTCCTGGTCCGACAGATTTTTCGGCGAAATGATAAGTACGCCGATTGCCCGTGCAGTGCGGTAACGAAACTAAAGTAAATTTTAATAATAGACATCTGCGTTTCGAATCTAAATGATTGCGCCGCAAGCGACTCTTATCGGTGAACCGCGAAGTTTTGAAAAGGATGTTTTAAGGATACAGCCAGATTAGTATTATATATTGTGATAATTCACAAGGAAGCTATTAAGAAAGGTAATGTCTACCTTAAGATAAATATCCACTGTACTTATTATTATTATTATTATTATGACAGAATTGTCCGGCTTTGTACATTCTGGATTTTCTCAAACGGTTATAAATTTGTACGGCTTAGAGTCAAGAACAGTTTTAAATCTTCATATCGCGTTTTGTAAAAGGCATATTCAAGTCAGATTAAAAAAATTGTCGCAAATACTGAAAGCTTAAGCATAGGCCAGATCTCGTCTGCGTTAGGCTATTATTCAACGGAGGCTGCTAGCGTGGTCTCGATCATAACAATTAACAGCTGATTGTCGAAGTCGGCTCAGATCAGACAACAGCAAATGAAATTACCTATGTCCAGTGGACACTACTAGGATAGCCAATCGTTTCGTATTTTCGACAACTCAAAAATTTCATAGGCGGATTCGTGACGATATCTTAGAGAAGGCCGCTCAGACACTCAACGATAAAGCTTCCTTGAATCACGGTGGAAGACTAACTTCCCTAGCTAGTGTTCTTCGAATCCTACTCTAAGAAATGTCACAGCTTAGATGATCTAAGAGAAATGATGCTTTAGTCTGGAAGAATAAAACGATTTAGGAAACGTTTAGATCGCCTAAACAACGATCTGTGTAGATTGATTGTAGAAATCTAGTAAAAATTTTTATCACGAATTGCTTTACACCGTAAAGACGAACACACGCCAATGCTGCAGCCACTTTTGAAACCTAACGCGTTATTCCGCGCAGGGCGAACGCTTACATGTGAGTTAACACAAGATAATTGATAAGAAATCTCGTAGAAACTATTTTAAATAAAAGAAATTCCTTGGAATCCTGGTAAATTCTATTCCCTTTTAGGACATGATGATGCTCTATGTATTCAATGGAAATAGCACAAAAACCTAACGTGGCGGTTCTTCATCAGAGATACTTCCCACGACGAGTCCCTGTCATCGTTGCTACATACCACGTCAGTATGATCGTTCCACTTGAGGTCTGTTCTTTCACAGAGATAAATACGTAACGAACATTCAGCGGCAGCTAGACCTTTTTGGGCCTCACAGCTTGTGCATAGACATCGTTTGTGTCTACTCACCGTCAGCTTGGCTTGTTTCACAGAATACGATATGTCCTTGATGCCAGAAGGGTCCGCTGAAATGAACATCTTCGTCCATTAGTACCATAGGTAATTAATAGCGACTATTTTGTAAAACATGCCACATTCGTTCGAATTTTTGTTTTCACGCCATATCAACTCTTTCACTCGTGTATGCTCACTGTCCTAAGGTATGTTTTTTAAGGTTTAAAACAAATTGCTTTTAAAATATGAAAGCTATAGCCTTGTTTTAGATATCAACTTATAGGGCGGCTTTTGGTTTCTGTGGAGCGGAAAATATCAATGAAAGCATTAGCCGTTCACGGCAATCTGGTGACGATTGGTGACTCAGTGACACAAATTTGTTTATAGCTACGCGAAGCATACATGTAAAATATCACACTCTCTTTTTACTTATAAAACATGTACAATACAGAATATTATTATTTGCTATTATTAATTTCTAAATGCACACTGCACTGCAAAACACGACCCGTTTTAATAAATATAGTATGGAAACAATACCATAGTGTTCTTCTTTGCCTACTGACTCGACATCTTCATATATATAGTTCAGCGGGGTCGACAATAAAAAAACGTCGCGCTTTTTGCCCTTATATAGGTTATTGAATTCGAAATTAATACAGTTAGTATAAACTTCTTCGATAGAGAGGTATATGAAGAGAGCAGGGTAACGTTCTTAAAGTCACTTAAAAATGTCATTTATAATACGCGCGCCCGTACATGGAACGGAGTGAAAATGTCGACGGGCCTGTTGCCAGAGTGGACACCTATCATTTTCCGAAATGGATTTTCTAATTCATAATTGAAGCGAGAAGAATTACTGATGAACATGTTAAGTCGTGCCCTGTCGAAGAAACAGATAGCAAGAGAAATTGCAGTGAGTAGAAAACACAATGCTCTGTAGGTTAACGAAAGGAAAACAAACGTTTTTTCTTTGTTTTATATATGTGTACCCAGAGAAACATTAAATTTTGCAATGCCCCGAACGAAAACCATAAGCAAGACACCGAGAAAAGCCAAGTCCAACCGGATATAGAGGCAGGAAAAGCTTTTCTGATTGCTCGGTTATTTTCGCGACTATCCTATTGTTACGCTTGTTGCTTTCAAAACTTGACAACTTATTACCAACACAGCAATGCGGGATATATGAAAAAGATTGCCATTGACAAGATGAAAGTCAATGGTTGTATAAAAATATATATGAAACCTAGCAAATAGATTCTGTCTAGAATCCGTCGTAAAGGTTCACAGAAGAACCGAATGAAGTTAGGACTTCTCGTACAAACTATAGTCATGTTCATAATAAAAAAAACTTTTACCATTAGTGGACATGAAAATCTTAATTGAGCTGTTGTGGTCTAGGTTCGAACCCGGGCACAGACAGACGTCGTTTCGAGTTGGGAGCCAGCCGTCTGATAGAATGCCTAACGGTGTTGCCGGACGTAAAATTCGAAGCATGGACGTATTATAACTGTAATGTGTTACTTTAGAAAAGTATGCAGCTTTTACCATGTCCAGTTTAGGACTGAAAAGGTTGGAATTCCATGATTTCTGGGGAAGCTCATTTCATTTAATTGAGTCACCTGACAAACCGTTCCCAAGTTACTTTTTGTTCTTTGTACAGCGTTGTACAGACCGGGGGTGTTAAAAGACCATGATACCGGTGCTCAATTTTCTATGTCGTTGTTGTTGAGCTAAATAACTTTCTAAGAAACGTATATGAAATACATCTTCAATTTGTCAAAAAGCAGTATTCTTTTCTTTTTCTTTATAAGAAAAACCACGATCCTTCGTATGTTTGAAACAACACTTATTTTATACAAAATTCGTATATTTACACCGCATCGCGGCCTCTAAGCTGGCAATTCCTGGCCTCTTCTTAGTCCCAGGAATAGCAGCAGAAGCCATTATTTTCTTCCTGGACTTTATGAAAGAGGGAATATCACACCAGCTATCCTTCCTAAAGTCTAACTAATTAGCTGCATGGACTGGGTCACAAGTTTCTCCGGCGTATGGCTTGTTGATGTCCACTGGACTCATTGCCCCCTTCATGATAACTTAGTGGGTAACACGTTTGCCTGCTAATCCGTTTTGATCTCGGTTCGAACCCATCGTCTTGTGAAATGCCTAGTGGCGATACCGGATTCGAAACATAGAGAAACTGAACGAGCTTATATACTAACTTCATATAACTAAACTGTTTAGGTTAACAATTTAAGTTTGAATATTTAATTGACTGACTTGCCTGCAATGAACACAGGAGCTGATAGCGGGTTGCATCTCATTTACGTGTGGATTGAGCTCTTCGATCCTACTGATGTCAGCAATGGCCTTGCTCGATCTTCCCGCTGGCGTCAATACAGGGATCGGCACTGCACTGAGCCTCAGTGAACGTACAGACAACGCATCTCTACAACAATTACTCAGCACTCAAAGTATTGAGAACACACTCTCCACCTCGGTTAGTACCAGTCAAACCAGCATCTGGCTATAGACGATATATCATAGCTAAATAATACAATCAATATTGCGTTCATCATTTATATAGTATCTGGTTTGCGTTTTTACGTTGTAAAAATAGTTCATTTAGCCAATGCCAAACCCCCTAGCTGCGGGTTCCTTGTGCGCGTCAAATGCAAACTTCAATATCGGCATACAATCTACATAAGCGGAACATTAATGATCACTCTCTGGCTTATTTCGAAAAGTGGGCATACACTTGACTTAATTATTTCTTTTTACTTTATACTATGGGTCAACATATACTTTAGTTAGCAGTATCCACCAACGTAAAACACGGCACATAGCTACAAGCGACTTGTTTTTTCGCTACATTTACGGCTAAGAGTCAGATATTTGTTTGTTTGTTTATTTATTTATAGTAGCGATTTAACTTCACAAATTCTTGAAATTACCAATTTCAATAATACGTTCCATTATCTATCGCTCAAGATACTCCATGATAAATTGCGTCAAACGCTATGCACGTGGGTTAGAGAGAAGTCTGGGGGATACCGACAGTGGATGCAAGGTTTCTGCATAAACATCGTTTAAACAGTAAATTGGTTTCGGTTGCTCCGAGGCTTTGTTAAATGATTATCACACATATGCTTGTCAAAATTTATTTTTAGCAAAAATGCTCAGAAATGTGTCAAACCGGAACCTTTTCCTCTTTACTTGATCACATATATTGTGTCGAGTACGTCAATCGTGGGTCCGAGCTACTAAACCCTGGCTCTCTCAACCAGACCTAGGGTCAAAATTAGGTCTAGAATTATTCTAAGTGGAGCTTTACTTTGGGCTCCGATAAAATACTTCTATGATAACGCTTCGGACGTTCAACAACAAATTAGCGAGAATGACCAAATTGTAAAGCAGCTACGGCATATATAAATGTGCATACGTCCATGTCCTCTGATACAGAAGACGCTAGTCAATCATCATATTCAACGTGCTTATCACGTTATTTTAAATATATTGTGGTGACGAGTTGCAACTTACTTTTATGTTTACGCGTATGAGGCACACAAGGCTTAAGCATTCTTAATATTCTATATACAAACATTATCAAAAATTTATCAAAGTCATTTTTATAAACACTGCACTTAAGCATATCTTGCAAGAACTAAGTTAATAATTCGATAGTAATTTTACCAAAATATTGAATAGCATCCATTTTTTGAAGTGTGGATAAGTTCTAGATAATCGCCACGGTTAGAAATTGCAGTTTGTCACCTCATTTGTTAATGTTCATTATGGAGTCTGAGAATGCACGGATGATTTAGTTGATAAATTTTTATGAAACCTAGAAACACAACTTAGTTTTAAGCTTAACAACTCTTTTTGCAACAATTTTGGCTTCGTTTTTGCGGTTTATGTAAAACAAAGTTACCTAATTGATCATCTAACTACTGAATGAATTTTTTCAAAACTGCTTTTTCTTTACCTATATACATCCAGCTTAAGAACATACCAGTCAAGCATGTACATACAGCAGGTACATGTTTCGACTAGGATCATGTTTGACTGACACTAACACGTTGTGAACATATCCGATTGTCAACAAAGGACAGACTGTCCTATCGCTTGCCTAGTTGCCGCCCTTGTTTGTATAAGCACAAAACCTATATTTCGGCCTACCTTCGTACGTGATCGATAATCGAATAAAATTAACCCGTTTATGAATCTATTCTTCTTTGACACTGTTCTGCCAACAATGACAGTATACCGGGCGGATATTTGTACACTTTATTCTGCATAGAACTATGCTAGGCGTACTTTTCCTGTGAAACATGGTCCTATACAATTTAGCTGTTTAGGAAGATCGACAGTGCAACGCACTCTTTCAATGTTATTTTTATTCTATCCTTTATCCACAATTTAGAATAATTGTAGTCCTGAAGGAAAAAGTCACCTATGTAGTCAAGACTGGATTAGGTCTTAGGCATTTTTACTAGTCAGCTAAACTTCCTAACAACTTTACCTAAATGTCACAAACCTTTAAGTTCATTTGAATGCTGTTCAAAGGAAAGGAAAGGAATAATTACCGCACATAAAACGCACATTTCATCTATACATTGCCTATCGGTTATTATTATCTTATGATAAATCTTCCAATAAATCATTACGGGTGCTATTTTCTTTTATTCATGATTCGACAAATTTTACAAAATGGCCTATATTCGGACGCACGTTAGGGCTCGCTTGGCTCAAACATTTTGTATATGAGATAATAATAATAATAATGTGATCAATAGAGTTTTTGCAAAACATTGGGGTTCGTTTCCCTTACGCGTGGACCGAACCATATTACTGCATTTACAGAAATCGTTACGGTTGATACATACAGAGATTTTTACGTGTAATGCTTCAACTCAAAAAAGTCAGTCGTGAATCGAGAAAAAAAACAAGAATAGCGTTTTGTTCCCGGGATTGAAGTATACAATCTATACACATTTATAAAAACTTTAAATTTGTGCCTCTTATTAGCAAACGTGCTCGTACATAATGATAGCCAACATTTAAGACTTCCATAATTAGAATTATCTTCCGTGTATCTTTTTTGAGTAAAAATTAGATTTCATACGGTAGGGGCCTTAATGAATTGCACTTGACATTCTCGGAACTAGTTTAGTACTGTTGTTTTCTTTTCTTTTTTTTTTTACTTAACTGAGTAATGATGTCTGACTTCATTTAGATATCCATAAGCACTTTCTTAAATAGGTAAAACATTTCTCTCATCGTCTACGTACAGCTTTCATAACCCACTTAGTTGCAGCAAATTGTAAACCCTAACGAAACAAGCGTCAAATTGTAGTGGCCCTATTCGTAGTTACTAGCCACAGATAATAACATAATAAGCCACCAAATGAGCTTTTCACTTTCATTCACCAGTATATTATTTATCCATTGTTAAGAGGTGTGGTCGAAAATTCGACGATAATAACTTGTCTTCCAGATGATACCATAGTTTTTTTTTTTTTTTTACTTGACAGGCATTGGGTATTACGACGTCGCTATTATGCATGGCATGCATTCTCCGTAACTACATATCACTGCGGCGAAACATCAACTACGACCTGTTGCTCAAGCCAACGGCCTGAAACTGCTAGTCAGTCTCTTTCGCATTTTCATACCTATTCATATTTTACCAAACGAACTACTTCTACTTTGGACTGCAAATGACACAAATAGAGAAGACTGTAAACACGAAAAGACCAACTCTAGTTGAAGCATTACAAAAAGGACACTAGGCCCAAAAAGGATGAATGAGAGCGGCACGGAAAAAATGCAAGGACAAGAGGCAAAGGAAGACGGGAAGCAGAAAGTCAGAAGTTAGATGACGTGAAATGACGTTCTCCGATTTAGTTAAGATACCGGCCAAACAACTCACTAGAGTCAATCAACTATATATATATATAAAGAGGAAATAGGTGCGCAGGAGCACTGCAGAAAATTGACGACTAGGTGGTAGGTGGTTCAAAGAAGACGGTTGGTGGCACAGGCCAGATGACACCTATATGGTTTGTTGGTATGTTGACCTTGACATTGTTTGCTTGTGACATAAAAGACATGAGTTTGACACAAATACAAAAAAGAAATGGCAGTTCTGACCATATATATATATGGCTTTGATGTGAAATCTGCTCATGAACCATATATTGTATAAATACTTAAAAAAGCATCATTTGCGCCTTTGCGCCTACCTATGCGAAGTGTGAACGGGGGCGCAGTAAAGTATTATTGACAGGCCACGGGTGTGGAAATAGAGCAAGAAGAATAACTGCAGACAAATACCGTACAATATAACACATGTAAAGGAAATTAAGATTAGAGAATTAAGGCAGAAAAGGCCATGTAATAAAATAAATAAGAAAAATCCAAGGACGTTTCAAAGGACGATCTTTGGTGTTCTTTTTCTTTTTCAGTGTAGTGGTAACAGCCACACGAAGGGCAGTAGGCACAGGGCATTTACTCGTGTGGCCTGCTATAAGATTAAGCAAAAGAGAGGCTCTAGGGAGACGGTGTAAATCGCTTTTGCTTTTTATCGTGGCGAGTAACGCAGTGATGCCAATACGAACTAACGGTCACCCAGCTAAGCGATCGAAAACGAGTGAATGGGAAATACGCAGCAACGCAGAACCGACAGTTAGGATTGGGGGCAGTCATCCGTCTAGACCTCACCATAGCATGTTGTGACATTTTCTTTCAAGGCTTTGAGGCTTTTGCTTTTACATCTCAACGCGCAAGCCTTCGCTTTTAAAGGAGAGGCTAAACAAAGCAGCCTAAAATGTGGTAAAAAGAAAAAAAAGCTACATCGAATAAGCTAGAGGAATAGAGAAGTAACACCAAAACGAAAGGATCTCCTGTGAGCGATGCTGACTACCAGCATAAAAGATTGTAGTTATAACTAGTCACAGTAGATAAATTATAAATGTCGCCGGCATTAACCATTGTTTGATAATCGAAGGGTTTTTGCTGATCGATTCAAGCTAGCAGGCAAAGTATACATAAAGTTCAAATATAACTGGCGAGGAACAAGGATAGGAAGCAGGGAGGAGGAGCTCAATGACGAAAACACTCAACAATCAATGATCGCCCGTTTATTGAGTGGATCGAATGGCTCCTCTCATCTGCGAGTTTATTTGAGAATTGGGTCTGACGATGTTCATCCGAGTCAAGTCTTTGTAGCAGCAGTATTGCAAATACTAGCAGTCTTTTAGTACCCTTCCGATTGCGACAGAAAATGCCCAGCGCTGCACAAAGCTATAGAGCCTAAATACGTTTTCTAGGAGCATTGTTGACTGTACGCTAACCAACACAGGGTTGCACTCAAGATATAGACTATATCGGCAACTAAACTGTGGACTATTAACAAAACACCAGAGAATTACATTTCGTTATACAGCATCAGTATTATATAAGGCGATACAAAGCGTGAGGTCAATTCTTGGTGAAGCAATGACGCTGAGTAAACGAAATGTTTTTCTTATCGGGACCATGGAGCGCCGAACACCGAAGTACGTTTTTAATGTAAGTTAGTGAAACATATGATCTTACACATACCACCTCGAGAAACTGCGATATACTGCCGTGATCGATGAAGTGTGCTCATGTGTATGGGCGTGTAAAAAGGGTCTATTCTGTTCTCTGATGCATATTTGAAGTCAGTTGATTTAAAAAAAACTAGAGTAAGCTGCAAAAAGTGTACGACGGGAAAGCGATTTATATTATCACGAAGCCTTTAAAACAGGATCAAGCAGATTGTACGTTTATCAAAGAAAATGTCAAATTTGTGAAGTCCCAGTGCCTGGATAGCCACTGAACATAAAGCAGGAATATCAGATAACTGTATTTTGTAATAGTACAAAAGCAGATATTTATAACTAACTTATATTTATTTGAAACATAATTTTGTATAAATAAAAAACGATTGATCGTAGAATATATGGAGAGGTCAACGGAGATCAAGTAAACTGGACTGCAATTGTTCACCCCCGGCCACAAATCTGACTATCGCCTTCGCTTACCGATGCGTTTAATCCACGATTACATTTTCTAGTTATAGCGTTTTTAGAGCAGTTGTATGAGCGACATTATTCCAGCAATAGCAGAAGTCTCTGCATAGTGTGGGCAATGAAGATACACTGCGAAAATACCGATTCTAAGACATCATAAATCTCAAGCACCGAATTCCAATAAATAATACGATATATATATTGGAGAATATAGACAAAGTACTACGCAACGTCGTCGATCGACATTAATCACAGCGAGTTAGGTTTTCTAAACCTTTCATAGGCAACCTGTTGGGGATAGGCCATTTCAGTACTGCAAGTGAGTGGCCGCACCGCAGCCTGTTGACGTGTATTCATTTTAGCCTAGGTGGCACAAATGACCTTACCAAAAGTCAGTGTCAGTATGGCACAATAACTTTAGTACAAATCTTGACTATGAAATGCTTTATCGTGATGCATCTAAAATACGCGTCCATATAACGTGACGACGCGCTAGATAAATACGTTGGTTGACGCCAGCCGTTACATTTCACGCTCAAACAAGCTCTATCTCTAATCGGCAGTGCTGCCAATGTGATGCTAATTCTATAGGTCATAATTCCAGTACCGACTCATGGAACACTTCAATGGACTCTGTTCCCTTCTAGATGGCTGCACCTGATGCTTTGACGTTAAATAAAGTACTTATTTTTTTTTATATTGTGTTAAAAAATCAGCAACCGATGGCTGACGGCGACCCAAAACACCTGTCAGTAAACATGAGTCAGGTACGATTCATTGCATCTGCATCTAGTTATAATACCAAGTTAAAGATTAGATGAGAAACAAAACATGAATTTTCAATATATGCAATGTGTACCTTGTATGCTATCAAAGCTGTTACCAAGGATCTGTTCATACCATGCCAACACGTATCCTTTCAGATTTACTTAGGGGTAGTAAAATTAGCAAATGTTTAAGGTACGCTAATTTTTGGACTTAGGAATTCATCGAAATTGTGCTTGAAGGGAACTCATCTGCCAAAATAATCCGCTGAAGTAAATCAGTCTCAAAATAATCACACTTCAGACTCGAGTTAGTGCTTCATCTGCATGATACTAAATAAATACGTAAGTAAAATAGAAATTTGACCGTTGGTAAGGAACTATTCAGATGAAAGATGCTTCCGATCTTCTTTCAGAGCGACACAGACTGGTTCGTACATAGGGCCTAGAACTTTGGTGAACGTAACAAATATGTAAAGTTTTGTTTGTAGCGTTTCAGAACAAACTGCACGTAGTTGATATTGATTCCTAATTATATGTATTGTCAATAAGGCCAATGTTGACGTTTTTAGGCTTAATGGTAAGCATTATCGCAATGATTGAAATGTGTGAAAAGAAAGTATTGTATCATATACTCGTAAAAACGAATAAGCTGGAGATTAGAAATTTTAGAGACCTGGCATTCATGATTAAAGAAATGCTAAACCTTTTCTTGATCCTAACTAGAATACTGAGCTTTGTTGCCAGCTCGTTGCACATACATCGAGCACCAATAGTTATATGGGAAGCTGGGTCAGAGGCTGATAAAATTCGTTTCCACTGATGATGGCAGAGTGACTAGTAGTCACTTTCAGGCATCCGTACAAACCAGATAGTGGTATGTTGGGTTTTGGTATATTGGGGTAAGCAGGTTGATACTATGTTAATAGACAGCACCCTTGAATGGTTCAAGGAATGTGGTGCTAATGTTATTCCCTCTACTGGAACCGTCGCACCGTTTCGTTATGGTTAGCTTTTAACGGCACTATTTTTAATGGCCAATTTTAAGGGTTACTTTTAAATAGAACAAGTATCGGCCACTTTGCCGAACATTTGCCGCAGATGCAAGTGCTATACATAATTTCCACAGCAGAAGAATAGACGAAAGTCCTTTACCTGGGCGCATTATGATATCTCTGGAAAAACAACGACCTATTCGAAAAGCTGGTACAAACAAACAACTAACATCTGGCTGCTTAATACAAAAAAGCATCATCCGATAGAATGAGAGAAGTTTCATACGAAACTTCTCTTTAATGAACAGGTAAATGTTTATAGACTTAAGTTCGGATACAGATGCGTACCATACATACATATATATTTCAAATACATACATGATTATTCTTAATGGAAGGGTAGTCAGAGAGTCCTTTAATAAGCAAGAACATTTAATAATGTTTTAAAAAAAATGTATGTTTCAAAAAATTCTCTTCACACGTTTTTTGGTAACATGTCAGGAAAAACTGTAATGTAAATATTTGAAAATTGAAGAGCCTATTACTGGGCTTGTCGCGGAATCGCGGGTCTCATCGAGAAATATAACGTTCAAAGATACTCAGTAATATCTACAGCGTCGGCTAAATGTTTATAACAACGCACTGATTTTTCGAAAAGTATTCGAACGTACTTCGAAAAGATAAAGAAAAAACGCCAAGTGTATCAAGCTTTATTTGTAGCTCTTCAGTGAATATCTACCTTAGACGCTTGAGAAGCTATATAAGGGTGGATCATTTTTGAAACTTGTTCAACAGGCGCATTCTGTAATCTGTCGAACGCTTCGTTTTTCAGTAAAGTGATGTTGCGCAACGTTTATGAATCGGCGTTTCATTTGTTTTCTCTTTATCTAAAAAGCCCTTCACGTACTTTCTGACAGCAGAAGTAGCGTAGTATTGACGCCATAAGAATGTTTCTGCAATATTTCTGATCGAACATCGCAAGAAACAGCGGTAAACATGTTTGGTTTAATCGCCGTTGACAGGCACAGTGGTGCTTATCAGATAGACAGTAAGTTTTTGTCCCTTTAAAGTCAGCAAGGAAAGGTTCCTTATTCAACGCCCATACAATGTCTACTTAGATTTTTGCTTTAGACGAGACAGTCGATTGATACAATTGCTACTACCCCTGCTTTCCCCATCGTACACCGGTATTTCACACCTATTTACGATAGTTCTTACGTTATAGCTAAATAGGAATAGGCAAACATATTTCCAGGGCGACTGATCGTTCTTATTGGAGTTATCTATTCTACAACAAACTCGTTTCCATTTTTCATTGGACAGTTAGCAGCCAGTAAACTTTTTCTGATGGAAGGAAATACACCACTAAGGAAAAACGTCTGGGCATCGCTGCGCCGCGTTTTACCAACGATATATACGATACGACAGAGGTGATTAAACGAAAGCAAGAAATACGTTAACATAGAAGTAAATATTTTAAGATACGACGATCGAGGCAAGAAAAGCCTCTTAGATATATCGCGCTGTAATATGGTTGTATGATATTGTTAGTAAAGGTCTCGTACAACGAATCCGTTGAGCTAATTGGGTATTTATGTATTTAGCATATTCTTGACGCCCAAGACGTGGTTGTGCATCTTTAACGGATAACTAGGTAAGCTATCATGTGGGCGAGACGTTCTTTCTCATTGAATTATGGCGTCAACGCTCCAACTTGATGCTATTCGAACTACCCTCGAATTACGAATGTTTATTCTTATTCAAAATTTTCTCATAACTGAACTTCACTTTATTTCCACCTTCTGGATATCCTTTTAGAAATGACTATAAGGCCTCGGCAGCTTGATCGACGAAGCTCAAAGGACACGTAATGATTTTGCCGAGCTATCAATACAGACATGTTTGGATCTGCTTAGCATGCTCTATCTGTTGCATAGAACGTATTCCTTCTAGAACTAGAAAGAAATCGTGTACGGTAATTTAGTATCGATGCCGTTTGTTTTTCTCTCTTATCAGAGCCGTTACGCAGAAAGCTATGTAAGACTGCTATGTGATTTTCTGTTTATACTAGTCCTTTCAAGCCAACATGGTGTGAATCTATTAGCTTTGAATGAGGTTTATCACAACTAAATTAGATTTCAACAAGCACAATCGAATGCCTGTCTAGCAATAACACAAATTGTGTAAGAATGTTAGCCGTTGTAACGTATTGGTTCAATATCTATATCATCATTAGATATATTCACACATAGAATATTCAGCTAACGGCGGCAAGGAAACGCTTTTGTCGATGTATGAGTGTAGGAACAGATTTAGGTTCCTCTAAAATAGCTTTTGTTGCCTGCATTGGCCAGGTTCCTCACTTTTTGAGATGGCCTAGAAGTATTACTGCTTCGGTTTGCCGTTAAGAATTACGTCGGGTTCAAAAGCATTACTACTTCCATTGTTACTAACACGATGCGACCGGTAGCAGCGGTGAACACGACTGCTAGAGTGGTCGTGATTGTTAACAAATCCTGACATTTTCCGCGCCGATCGGCTGCTTGCTTTTGTCTACATGGTGGGTATGAAGAGTAGAATGCCTCGTAGGTCCGCAGAAACGTGCGCAACAGCTATGGGACAAAGCAGTGAACAGTGGCCGAAACGGCGGCAAAACCAAAGAAGTTTGGAAGCGTTAAGAAAAGAAAGAGACGTAGAAGGGGTCGTCGGAATGCGCTGATAATTGCCTTGAGAATAGGGAGGTAGGCACGCGGAACTTCCGACCCACAAGCCATCTGTTACCAGTGTCCTTGCCGTAGGCCACAGGTGCAGCGCGCATAGGGCAAGCGTGCTTAAAGGTAAAAACACGGATATACTTGCGCTATTGCTACCCGCTCACACAGCCCGGCAGAGGAGGGCGTACCGACACAAGGCTTTGAGGCAGCTAAAAACAAATTAAAAAAGACCACGCCGGGGCTGCTTAGAGAGCGTTTGTGAAGCAAATATTCTCGGACGAATATTTTGTCAAGGCATATCTTCTCGTCTTAGATGTTAATATTCTAGTCGACAACGACGTTGGGTGGCCACATCTTCTGTTCACTCCACAAGGTCAGTGGTTCTCATTCTGTAGTTACCGTTTGTTTTTTCCTTACAGTTGTGGCTCATTTAATAGCTGTGGTTGGATAAATTTCGAACTAATTTTAGAAACCCCTATATGCAACGAAATAGGGATAAAGTATAAAAATAGGGATTGAAAGGGCTGAAACGAAAGCAGCGATTAAGCTTTACACACCCAACCTCTAAACGCAGAAGGAAATGGTACTAGTACCCAGCAGCTGTCCCAATATCGAAGAACTAGTTTCTACCGCTCCTTTTGTGACATCGTTAGCTGAGTGACAGGAGCACAGGAAAATATAGTTCCAGAACGAATTTCAAGTTCATTAGGAGTCCAAAGACCGGCAAAGGAAAATTGACTAACAGAGGCAAACAGTCCTGTCTTAAAAATATGTTATATAAATCGATACTAGAGCAGCAACGTAAAGTGTCATCGTTTGTTTCTCCTGTTCCCAAAGCCATTTCGCTCCTATTTTTGCAGGCGACAACGTCATCGTGTGATAAAACGGACCAACGATGGACCGGGTCTGACATAACCCCAAAAGCATTCTCCTTCTCTGGTCCATTTCTTCCGCCCAAAGCCGTGCTCCGTACGCGTTTAAAAATCAATCAGACAGAAAGAGCTTCGCACAAAGCTCTTCATAGTTATTTCGTCGAACATCATCTCCACCCCTGAGGTTGTTAAGCATAGCGGCGCAACAATTATGTAACGTGATGTAAAATTATACCCTAATGTCAAGAATTTTTAAATACTTCATAATTTGCAGGGCTCAGCAAATCTCTTCAGGGCCCATTAGTTTATGTTAATCACTCCAAATAAGATAACTTTAGAAATGTACGTTCTTCATAAATGGTAACATCGAGTTAATAATTCATAATAAATTGTTAGTATTATGTAGCGCTGATTAGACCACGTTTCATCTGTCTTTTAACACCCTCGTATATTAACGATATTCGACGATTCACCCTGAAGTAATTTCGGTAGGTAGAATTTTTTTTGCACCTAGCGAATTTCGAAAGTGAGCTAATAGGGTGAGGTGCAGAAGTGAATGTACGATTGATATGCCCCTTTATCAATCATAATTATGTTGTCTTCTACCAGCGACTTGCTAGCGCACGAGACAGCGGAGCGGCTACCTGCCGGGAAAGACCGCAAGCGCTGAATGTGCTAACTCTTCGCTCGGCTGGCATTTAATATACAGGTCTAACAACAGCTTTCGACTTACTGAATGCGGAGATAATGAAGATGCCTTCACGACGGAGACCATCACAGACGCGGAGCCTATCTACTGCATGAGGCAATGCAAAGGAAAAGAGTTTTTGTCTCAACGACGCAGGAAGGGTGTTATGCGATTGAGCTATACAGCGGATGCGAGTGAACTTTGTTCTACGTTGAATATTATAGAGGTGAACCGATATATAGAGAACGGTAGTAATAGAGCAGAAAAACTAACATAAAACGATGGTTAGTTATGGAACACCCTAAAAATTCAAGCGAGCATACTCATAACAAGTAAACGCACCAGCCATGATCACCAAAGGTTAGAAATAGCTCCAAAGGAAGCTCCAAAAGTAACACACAGAATTGGTTGGAAGCCAAGTCAGGACAGCTTAATACAAAGGCAGAGACAATGTACGGGGCAGCGGCAAGTCTAAGAAAACTCTATATGAATATAGAGGACAATCTGCGGGAATGAAGACTGTAAAAAGGTTTCAAGCATAGTTGGCCTACTGACTGGAGTAGAGAGCGTTCGCCGAATATGACTTGGTCCAACAGTACCCGTTGCCAACTTAATGTTATTGTTTTTATACTCATCGAAGAAGATTAATTTGTGCGAAAAAAAAATATTATTTGAAGAAAATTATAGCTTGCATTGTCCGGCAACTGATTTGACACGCGTTTTACTGCTTTCTGCGGGGGGGGGGTGATTCGGTTTCAGGAACTACAGGAACCTCGTTCTGACGTAACACAAGTCGATATTAGAAGCCATATGGAAGGCTACTCCCTAGAGCATTGCTTTATTGTGTACATAGTTAAATTCTGGCTATCGAAATCTTGAAGGGTGACGAGCCCTCGAAGGCGCAAAACGCTTTAATTAAGCTGTTTCGAGCTAGCTTTTACAATTTGTAAATTGTTCATGCCTATGCGGTGAAATAAAATTAGGACAAACTTAGATTAGATTTGTGAACATTACCCTAGCTCGTATACATATCATCATTCGTTAGAACTTAACAAAAATTAGATAATGGCTTTAATCTCTGGAGTTGTGTACACTATGGGGTTACGGATTACTACAGTATGTAGCGTTATTGGGCGAGAGTGGTAAATCTCAATATGACAACATCGATGCGTTCGCTACCACCGTTGAAAAAACGATCAAGAAGTATGGATGGGAATATTTTGACATTCGCATGTAAACGGTTGAGGCCTGCTCTGAAAAAACGTTTCCATGTAAATGGAATAATCACGTCCTTCAGGGAGGTTTCTTTCAGCGCATGCAACCTATTTGATCTATTTGATTCATTACGTGCAGTTTACAAGCGAGCAGAAATTTTGGGAAAAATCCCAGCACCTTATTCATAGTCTTCCAGTCAGTCATGTATGTCGTCTATCTTCACTGTTCTGTCCACTATGGAGATGAGCGAACGAAACTCGGCGATTGAAAACAACTCAGAGGCTAAGTACTACGTACACTTACACAAGTTTATTCACGGATGTTGCTAGAAGCATGTACATACATTA